ATCAGATGGTCCCTGCAGATTGTCATCCCATTTCCGCAAGGAAACTTAAACTTGGAATCATGCCAAAGGAAAAAACAGAACAAGCAAGCCATAATAAATAATCTCTACTATTTCCATAAAGGATGATAGACAATAAATAATCTCTGTAGAAACCACACATTGAAGAAGAATGCAGAGAATCTGCCTTCTCCATTGTCTTCATCTCAAGCTCAATTACACAGTTTTCATTTATCACACAGTTTACATTCCAAGTATCATCAAATGTCCAAAGCCTCACTCCGGCAACTTCCCAGACTGGAATATCGCAAACTTCGAAACCTCTGAATACTGAAACCTAATCCCATTCTCCTCCAACAACTTCTCCAAAATCTTCTTATCCCTCTCAGGGTTCGAGCTCTCACACTCCACCTCATAACACGTCCCGAAATCATAGTTACTCTCGTCCACCTCTATCTTCAACCCCTTCCACTCATACACACCCCTCACATTCCTAAACCCACCCAAGCACACAAACCCTAGCCCTTCCTCTCGGACCCCGTATTCCTCCCTCACGCGCATTAAGAGCGCGGAGGAGTCGACAACAGAGAGCCGCCACGGCTCCGCCACGCAGGAGCGGCCGAGGACCGGGTCGAAAGGCTCTTCGAGCTCTTGGACGCGGCTGACGCCGTCGGAGATGACGGGTTTGGCCTTGAGGGAGAGGACGCAGGGCGAAACGCCGTCGTAGAAGCGGAGGCGGAGTATGGCGCGGTTGGAGGAGAGTTCGGCGTTGGAACCGTCGAAGAAGATGTTCTCTTGGATTAAGGTTTGGACGTGGAAGGGGGAGAGGAGGTCGGTGAGCTTTTGGTGTGCGGAGGTGTCTGAGAGGCGGAGCTTCACTTCCACCTCCATTGTTTTGGTTGCTAAAGGCCTGACGAGTGAACAATGTCGTGTGTGCTTCGCTGATATTTGATATGGAGCATATGGTGGGAAGATGAGGAGAGATTTTTATTATTTTTATTATTTTTATTTCAAAATAATAATTTATTTATATCTTTCTTGTTTATTTCTTTTGCCTATCGAATAACAAAGCTTTGTAGCTTATGTAGTTAAGAGTAGTTACACTATCCCGAGATTCTGTATTTGAATTTTTCCTTCTCAATTTAGCTTGTTTATAAAAAATAAAAATTGAAAACCAAAAATTTGAAGAAATTGAAAATGGCATTACTAATTTACCATATGGTAAAGGTAAAATAGAATAAAATTATGGTTCTTGTATTCCCACTTAGTACTAGATAGTATGATGACAAGTTTATTAATTTGTAATCGGATTATGAGGAATTGAATTGAGAAGGAGTTGGATTGAGGATAATTAGATTCCGGATTCCTATTGAAGTTCTTTACTAAACCATATGGATTGAGGGGAGTTAGATTTCGGATTCTTATTAAAGTTGTTTACTAAATCATATGGAATTGGGGTAATAAAATGTCATCGTTGTTGGGTTAAAGTAGTTGGAAAATTTGGAATTTTAAAAATTATGTGAGGATATAATGGGTAAAGAAGATGAATTCCTAGTGGGTTAGTTCTCCAGGAATTAGAATACCACATCCCACTCAGGAATTGAATTCCTCCAAAATCAAGAATTCAATTCCTAATTTTGTGTGAGCCTCACTTACTTTTTAATTCCTTGATATGAAGTAAATGCAGGAATCCTCCATAGATAGAATTCAATTCCTGATGAGAACTTTAATTCCTGATTAGTACACACACAACTATAATACCGTAGGAATTTGAATATGAGACATTTGGTTTGCAAATTGAGGTCATTTTTCACTAGGTTAGACCCCGTTGGCACGAGGCACGTTCTATATCTTAATGAGAAAGTGAATAGAACTTGACGTATGTAGTAATTAAATTGGTCATGTTAAGGATACCATCTTTAAGAGAAACACTTGCATGAAATGAGGACAACACTATTTTGCTATCCCGATCAATCACGATATGTCACGTGTGATCACTTTTCCACATGTCAGTCTATAATTGGTCAGGGATAACAAAATAGTGTTATCCCCGTTTCATATAAGTTTTCTGCATCTTTAGAGACTAACTTGTGTACCATCTCTTTAATAGAAGTGAAGCCCACCAATACAATGGGTCTCACCTCTATTAGAGAGATGGTACACAAGTAGGTCTCTAAATATGCAGAAAAACTTGTATGGAATGGGGATGGCACTGTTTTGTTGTCCCCAGTCAATCACATATTGAAACATGGAAAAATGATCACACGTGGCATACCGTGATTGGCTAGAGATAGCAAAATAGTGTTATCCCCATTTCATGTAAGTGTTTCTCCTAAAGATGGTCTCCCTATCATTTTCCTAATTAAATATGTATTACATGGCACATGCCACATCATTTAGGACATAAATTTAGTGCACAAATTTGGTGTCTCTAGTATTATTGAGATTTTATATACCTAATATTTTCTTTTGTGGAATAAATCTGAACATGTACTGATGTTCAAAAGCAATGAAATCTTTGAAAGTAAATACTTTTTTTTTGTAAATTTTGAATGAAAATAATTGGTTTTCAATTGACCATCATGTTGAGTTCTCCTATACTATATTCTCTTGCTGAAGAGAGAGTTAAGGATAGATACAGGAACCATTATCACCTGTAAGATTTAATGAACAGTTGATATGGGACGGGTTTTTCAAGTGGCAAATGGGTAAGTAAAACCCGTAAGAAAATGAAACAAAACAAAACCCTCACTTAGGGGGGTAAGTTGGATTGGAAAATCCAATTCCAATTGATTTCGGTACGAAAATTTCCAAAAGAATCTGACTTTGATATCCGAATATGCCGAAATCAGAAATTTCTGATAAAATTTGGATCTGAATCGAAATGTATCCATAAATTCCGAAATTTCCGAAATTCAGATAAATTTTTTTTTGAAGTTCTCCGAACCCATTTTGATCCGATTTTTCTAATTTTTTCCTAAATATTCCGAATATTAATAATACTTTCTAAATTCTAATTCTACTTGCATTGTTTTTAGTTTATAAGTCCTATATATGTTTCAATTCTTATTTGTTATATTTCAATACCCACGTACAAATAATCATATATGCATATATACCAAACATAAGAATATATAACTTTAAGAATATATTTTTTACAAATATGCTGTTTTTTTTTTTTTTTTTGGAAGGCATTGAAATTCCCTATAATGGCCAACCGATTTGTTTCTTGATACTCAAGAACAAGGGACACAGGATATGTTCACGCAGTAAAAAACCTCAAGATTGGGAAAAACAAAAACCAAATCATTATGAGAAATAATACAAAAAGGTCTTACAAGTCTCAACTCACAAGACTAACACTTACATGGCAAACTTGCCAACTCACCTTTGCTACTTAACCCAATCAGCAATCTTGTCTTCCTTTGTCAACAAGAGATGGCACAACCCAGGTCTCGGTTGCTCACACCTCAAGGCACGATTGTTGATCACTAACATGCATAATGCTCATGAACTCAAACATATATGAAAAGATGATGATTTAATCACAAATGGAGGCTAACAAGGAACAACCACATGAGTTTTCAATATGAACGCTCAAAAAATATTCTCTCGTCCTTTTCTTTTCAAAGTCGCAAATAACAAAACAGCTGAAGTTCCTTTCTTATTTTGCACGCTTAAATCTAGGCCAAAGACCAAAAAGGCTTTTAGCAAAAATGGTATTTTTCACAAATATATTCTTTCATTAAAACAAATAAAGCCACTTAAATAAATACCCAACTGAAAACACATAAGAACCCTTTTGTCAACACAAAGCCGCGCATAAATAAACACCAACTAAAGAGTATAAACTCATTGTTAAAAACTCACTTATGTTTGGCATTGGATTATGTAATACTAAAACCATATATCAGTCCTATAAATTTGACAGCCACTTTTGATGAACTTCCAAATATGCAAATATGAATTAATGCATGGATGCAAAACATACATTGGCATTGTCTCTGAGCCACACTGATCCAGGATAGCAGAATGTCACTTAAAAGCTATAGGTTACACTTAAAGACCTACTCTATATTTTTGTAATAGGAAATTGCCAATATACAAAAATTGGTCCTAACAAATATGCTTGTTTGAATTTTTTTTTTTTTTTTAAATGCATATGTGTGCTTGTTAAATAGGAGTATATAACTTTAAGACTATATATTTATGATAAATATGCTTATTTGAATATAACAAAAATGCATATGTATGTTTGTTATATCCAAACCTTGTATATGTGAAGAAATGAAACATTGTTAGATAAATTGAGATATGAAAGTTTGGAATTTATTTTGATGTTTTCAGCATTACTCTGATCAACAATGCATGTAACCTCTATAAAATGGTATGATCACATATTTGAATTGAAACTAGATGTTGACTAGATATGCAACTTTGTATCCCAAGTCAGATAGAGGGTTCTTGGCATAATGCCTAGAGAGAAGTTTAGAGGGAGAAACTGAGATGATTAGTTTTCTGGTGGACAAGGGAGTGGTTGCCATCCCACATCGTTTTTATCAAGCGGTGGGGATCCCACATCGGTTTCTTAGAAAACCTTACCTGTTTTCTTCTCTATAAAAGCTTCATCCCTATGAAGTCGTCGCTTGAAAGTCAGACCTCATCTTGTTTTTGGGCTGTACAAATCTTTGTCTATTTGGGCTTTCTAAATGCCCAGCTGGACCTGGAGTCTTTCGAATTTTGACGACTTAAAGTTCATAACAACTAACTAGTATTAATCATATCAAAGCCCGAGACTTCCGAAATTATTACCCGAACTTTCCGAAATTATTAACTTTCCGGAATTTCCAAAATTTCCGAAATTGCCGAAAATTCTATTGCGGAATAGGAAATGTTTTTTTGGGTCAGATAATAACGATTGGGTTCTTGCCCTACCTCACTTCGATCTTTAAAGCTTCGATTTTGCGTTCAAATCAAACCCAGTATCCTCCTTCGCGGACTCACCAGAATTCAGACCCATTTGGGTTTGCAGAAGCTGTAGCCATCACGCCCTCTATCGTTCTTCTTCTGCTGTAACTGTATGTTTTCTGCCACCTTCTTCTATTCTTTCTTCTACTTCTTCTGCAACCCTAATTTCTCTGTCACTCTTTTATTCTCTATAATTCAGGGGTCTAATTTGGTATTGTTGTATTAGTTTGTGAATTGGAGTTCTTCTACCCTTAAAATTAACTCAAATCGATAATCTACTCACAAAATATGGCCTGATTGGATAAATGTTTCTTTGTTAAATTTTAATACTTCCAAGTTCTCCTGTGTATATTTATGCACGTATGTCATAATAATTTTGGTATTAGGGAATTGGGTTTTCTTTGGTTTTACTGTTTTGCATTTGGCAGTTGGGTTTGCTTTTGTTCAATTCAATGATTCCTTAGAATTTTGTTCTTCTATAGGAACTTTAACCATGGAAGAAGAAGATGACTATTCTGAGTACGTACCTGTGGCGAAGCGGCGAGCTATGGAAGCTCAGAAGATTCTTCTGCGCAAGGGAAAGTCTTCCGGGCTTGAAGAGGATTTGGAGAAATCAAAGCTTGCTGAAGCCAAACCTAGTCTCCTTGTTAAAGCATCACAGTTGAAGCGTGAAGCTCCTGAGATTACTCCAGCCGAGCAGATGGTGCAACAAGAGAAAGAAATGATTGAGAACTTATCGGATCGCAAAACGCTTATGTCAGTTCGTGAATTAGCAAAGGGCATCACTTATACGGACCCTATACCAACAGGCTGGAAATCCCCGTTGCATATAAGAAGGATGCCAAGCAAGCAATGTGATTTAGTCCGAAAGCAATGGCATATCATAGTTAGTGGTGAAGATGTTCCACCACCTATTAAGAATTTCAAGGATATGCGATTTCCTGAACCGATTCTGAAGATGTTGAAAACCAAGGGGATTGTTCAACCAACCCCAATTCAGGTGCAAGGTCTTCCAGTGATTTTATCAGGGAGGGATATGATTGGTATCGCATTTACAGGTTCAGGAAAGACATTGGTTTTTGTGTTGCCGTTGATTATGGTGGCATTGCAAGAGGAGATTATGATGCCAATTGTTCCAGGTGAAGGGCCTTTTGGATTGATTATTTGCCCATCAAGGGAGCTCGCAAGGCAGACTTATGAAGTGGTGGAAGAGTTTCTCATTCCTTTGAGAGAGGCTGGATATCCAGAGATAAGGCCTTTGCTCTGTATTGGAGGAGTGGATATGCGGTCACAGTTGGAGATTGTGAAGAAAGGCGTTCATATAGTTGTTGCTACTCCTGGAAGGTTGAAGGATATGCTTGCAAAGAAAAAAATGAATCTCAATAATTGCAGGTAAGGACTGTCATTTTACAAACTCTATTTCACATGTCCTTTCCATTGACGGGCTTGTTTGATATGATGGATTTCTTTTCTTTCTCCCTTTCTTGACGATCTTCTATCTGCAACTTTATTGATGTTCTGTATAATTACAATTATAATGATATTAAACGCCACTGATTTCTTTTGCAGATATCTGACTTTGGATGAGGCAGATAGATTGGTAGATTTGGGCTTTGAGGATGACATAAGAGAAGTGTTTGACCACTTTAAAGCTCAACGACAAACACTGTTATTTTCAGCCACCATGCCCACAAAAATTCAGAACTTTGCTAAAAGTGCTTTGGTAAAACCTGTCACTGTAAATGTGGGAAGAGCTGGAGCAGCAAATCTTGATGTGATTCAGGAGGTTGAGTATGTGAAGCAAGAGGCCAAGATTGTTTACCTTCTTGAATGTCTACAAAAGACCCCACCTCCAGTTCTAATATTTTGTGAAAACAAAGCTGATGTGGATGACATTCATGAATATCTTCTGTTAAAAGGAGTGGAAGCAGTGGCCATTCATGGAGGGAAGGATCAGGAAGAGAGAGAGTATGCCATTTCTTCCTTCAAGGCAGGGAAGAAAGATGTCTTGGTTGCCACTGATGTTGCCTCCAAGGGTTTGGATTTTCCTGATATTCAACATGTCATAAATTATGATATGCCACCAGAAATTGAAAACTATGTTCACAGGATTGGACGAACTGGAAGATGTGGCAAGACTGGAATAGCAACGACATTTATAAACAAGAATCAAACTGAGACAACTCTTCTTGATTTGAAGCATCTCTTGCAAGAGGCAAAACAAAGGATTCCACCTGTTTTGGCCGAGCTTAATGATCCAATGGAAGATGTGGATGCAATTACCGATGCAAGCGGAGTTAAGGGTTGCGCTTATTGTGGTGGGCTTGGTCATCGTATCCGTGATTGCCCCAAACTAGAGCATCAGAAAAGCATGGCAATTGCTAGCTCTAGAAGGGATTATTTTGGATCTGGTGGTTACAGAGGGGAAATATGATAGTTTCACTTACACCTGTCTGACTGTTCACTTTACAAGTCGAGAAGGTGAAAAATTTGATCTTTGTACTCTTTTTGTTTATTAATGCATGTACTTTAGCTTTTCCTTAAACACGAGCCTAAGTTGAAATTTGATAGTGTAATTGGATGACCATTTTCTGCGGTATCTCAAGTGGCTGTAAGCATTCTGATAGATGTGTACATACATGTTTTTGCCTTGAATATGGGAAAAGAGTATCTTTGAACATATTTTGCATTTCTTTGATCCTCTTCTTTAAAATAGGAGTTAATGTGAAACAAGTTTTTCTTTTTAAACAAAACCCTGTTTAATATAGAGCTGCGCTGCTGCGCAGACAGCTTGAACTTCACAAATCCAAAGCCCCTGGCAGACTATAAATATTAAGTAATAAACTGAAGTTTCATGTCCATAAAGGATGGTAAATATCAAGTAATATGATATCACAGTGATATTCTGAGCAAAGAAAAGAACAGAACATGGTTGGCTACATATACTATCTGAGATTACATTTTGATGGAGATGGATTCATCTATCTAAATAGTATATCCATTACATCAGCAGTGCCAAAGCATTAGCTCTAAGATTTCTGGTGACAAGAGATGGATGTGGATCTTGGTGCAAGATATCTGACAAACTAGTTCCCATTCTCCCATCCTGTTCATCCATCAAAACCAGTCAGCCAACAATCATGAAAATTATGTTACAAACTTACAATTAACCCATAATTCATATGCTTTCAGGATATAGCAAAAGTACTAGGGTTTAAATTACCAAAGTGAACAGCATAATTACCTGTGAAGAGTTGACACTTGTATTTCCATCAGTAGACTTGAATTCTCTTGCTACCAGATATCTGGGGTCCATTTCTAGCATCTGAAACTGCTGATATATCTCATTCATCAACTTCTTTCTCTCTTGTGCACTCTCAAATAACTCTTGCTTCATGGTTTCAGTTTCTTCTTCAAGAATCCTCAACCGCTCATTTAGTTCTTCAACTTCACTGTTGCACACTACAGCTTTACTTGTTGAACAACCAAGAAGCAGCGGTTTCGTCACTGCCTTTTCAGCAACCCAAGTCCTTGAATCCTGCAATGGTTTTTTCCCATTTGACCTGGCCTCCAAATTGTACCGATACGATTCTCTTTCCTTTTCGATCCTTTGGCGCTCCGGCATGGAACCATTGTTAACTCTTTGCTCACTACTGCTTGCACACTTCCATGTCGAAAGCTTCTTGATTGATGAACATATTTCGAACTCATGCTTGACAGTTTCCATTCCAATATTTATTCGTAGATATATGTGTATATATATAAAGACACACACAAAATACTAAGGACTTTCCTTGGAACTTAGCAATTTGGCCTGAACTTAATTATATGCGTGCGGCTTCCGAGAGGCCATTTAAAGAAGAGCTTTAATACTCTTGAACAAAATTTGGGCATGTACCAGACAGTTGGTTAGAGAAAATGTGGAAGTGAATGATGATAGCTTCCGTATACTTTTCTTCACTTCTAAGAATGCTGGTGTTTGGAGTGTTATCTGTTATGGCCTATGGATGCGTATTGCAGACTTGCAGTAGTGACAGACAGAACTGAGATTTAAGGATTAGCTTCTTCTAGGTGAGAGAGAGAGAGAGAGAGAGAGAGAGAGAGGAAATTGCTTAGCACTTGCTGAATGAAGGGTCTTTCCTCGAAATTTGTCTCCATTCTTATTGGGAGGCAATATCAGCAGCAATACAAGCGTAAGTTATAAGTCAGGCCTTCCCTTCAGAAACTGATAATTAAGCAATCGTCAGCTCAACTTTGGCTCGCCGTTATATATAGTAGGCAAATTTTGGTTCCATTCTACCAGTACCAGCGGCTTTTGGTCTTACGCTGAATTTTCAGTGACCAATAGAACCAAATCTTCAGATGGTATTTACTAGCAAGTCCCTTCATCACCTTCCTGATGACAAACATAAAAAAAAATTACCTCGAGTCTTTTTTTCCTATTCACCCAATATCTCTTCTTTTCTCTGTTTTTTTTAATCAGAATTCACCTGATATCATCGTTCACTAATCACTATGAATCATCTGACATGTCCAAAGTTAATGAATCACCCCATGCTACCGACACACATAAAATATTCCAAGATAAAACGCGCGCACAAACACGTATAATGTTCTCATTTGAAAGATCCAACTCCTGTGCATTGAACAAGTGTCATAGTGGATGAGACACCGATAAAAGATACAAAATCATTTACAAGGAACCTGGAGAAGGCTATATAATAAATAAATAAAGGAAAAAAAAAACCTGTATAATAGAGGCTTCCCATTTTATTGTACTAAATACACAGGTTGCTTACTCTATTTTTTTATTGAACTTGATGAAGATTTGAAAAAGACAAAAAAAGGCATTGATACAGGTGTGCTTCGAGTTTCATCTCATTTGTGCAGTAGGAATGTAGATGTCGTTTACCCTTCACTTCAGACTTTTCATCTTGAATTGATGATGGAGTAATCAATTGGCACTTCAACCTCCATTTTTACGCCATAACTGCCAAGAACCTGTATCACATACAAAACCATAATGAAATATGTAAAATGCCTAATAGAATTTCAGAAGTTAATAAAACCATGCTAGGTATTCACATTAAATGTCACAGGAGCCATCAGAACTTTAAATTCGCTGATAAGAGAAAATGAAACACTGCCATAAACAAATGCCGGCTCTTATAGATTTGCAAGTTCAGTTTCCAAGTGTACAACAAGTAAGGTAATCAGATGATTCTGTCATGGTTTTTAAATGGGAAAGCAGACAACCAAATGTTTGATAGTTCTGGTGTCCTCTTAAAAGTACATAATGCCGGACCCAAGAATCTAGAACTAAAATTCCAACCAGCAAAAATATTAAATACCTATGCATTTGGCAAAACTTCCATCTCTATGCCTAAAATTCCTATTAACTTCTGGTGAGATAATTGCTTGCACTAACTGAACCTAAATATTCGATGACTGAAAAGGTTATTTAACTTTATAACATATGCTTCTGTAACATAGTCAGTCCAAAAAAATTAAATTTATGTGATATGATACATCCTCACTCGTTAGCAACAGGCTAACTGTCTGAGCAACTGTAATGCAATATTCTTGAAACTACCTTAGGAGGATAGGTCATGGAGCAAAACACAAAGAACTGCACTTGCTTTTTGAGTACAGACTGCTCGCTAAGGGAGACATTTGGACCTTCTAAATTGCATGCATCATTGGGTTGTTAAGATGGATAAAGCAATGACGTATACTTCATTTTCCCTTTTTCCTTCCAAGTAGTGCAGTTTTTAGTTGGACTAAAGACTACAGCAATTAATTCTTAATGCAACTAGAGAATGCTGAAACATTTCAAAAGCCTTTCAAACTCTTCAAGGGATAGAAATGCTCAACTTTGATCTCTGGTGAACACCCAAAGATTAATACCTTAATATAGATAAGCATCAATTATCACATATATTTGGGCATAAAATCAGCCATAGTAAGATTCTGTAGCTGGAGAAGTTGTCTAGGAGTTGTTCTCGTGCCACTTGTGCTTACAAAGGTATTTCATCCTTAGTGTTTGAAAATAAAAATGATATAAATAATGGCTATATCATGTCAGCCCTCATTTAAAGCCTAAAAAATTTCTGAGCAAGATATAAGCAAGTGTACCCATGGTCCACCCCGTTCTCTATATGGTAATGGTGGTCACAAGAAATACATGATAGTAAAACATAAAATACCTTAACGAAGTCATCTAACGTAAAATAAGATTCCCTTGTATATCCTGCTTCTTGTAAGACTTGAGTCAACACTTTCTGCAAATGAAAGACCAATATGAACATAGGATACAACAGAATTCAAAATTTGCTCCTTGACTAGAAAAAACATATCAGTGTGATAAGCATGTCAGGAATTGTAGATAACTAGGCTGAGAATAACTTATCCTAGTCAGGAACTACCAAAAACATGAATAAAAGAAATTAAAGATGCCAGGACCAAGACTTACACCCAGACCCACATATGTGACCAAACATGCATGCCTGATCATAGGTCAGATATGGAGCAACAATGCTCAAATTTATCCGAAATAACTAGTCTAAAAACATTAGAAAGGTGTTGGCTGAAGAAATTAGGAAAGCAGATTCAAAATTTGCAATGACACCAAATATCACTCTATGCAGCCAAAGTAACAAGGATAAGAACTTTCAGTTTCTGCATCAGACTAAGGTATTGATAACTTGATGATACTCACTGCACAGCTCATGAGTCACCAATTGATAGTTTGAGTACAAAACTCAACATACACCAATTAGGTGAGAATCAATCAAAACCATTAACTCTTCTCTTGCAATGTTATGACTGAATGATCAAAGAAAGCGAGAAAATGGATAAAACCTTGATATTACCTCTCTTTGCTCGTCAGACATGAAGGAACCAGACAAATCACGCAGCACTTCTAATATATCATTGAAAGACACCTTCCCATTACAGTCTGAGTCATATACCTTGAAAATAACTGAAAAAGAGACCATGTTATGTTAACCCAACACACAAACATGCTAGAAGATTTTCCCTAATTGTCATGAATGCTAGAAGAATATAAGCAAATATCAAGAATGGCAGTAGAAGCAGTAACAAGTTAGTTGCAAAAGGAAAATAAACAATGATTATAATAACAATATTAAAAAACTTTACCAGCTAACAGTGGTAATGCCTGTATGGCTTCAAAACCACCTACCCAAACTACGTAATCTCATTTACTGGTACCAGTTTTCCTGTTTAGGTTTAGCCGTTTATTTATTCTCCTTGATAGAGCTTGTTTCAGAGAAACAAGCAAAGATTACTTATCTATTGCATCCATGAGCATTAGAATAACTATTTGCAAGTACCCAATACTTGAACGGTTCATATTTTTCACAAGTATTCTGCAGAAAATCATACCAACACCTATTTTTTACACACTTTTGTCATCCCTTCAAGAACGAAATGTGTTTACTTTTCTTCCACTTTCATGTATCACTCTCTTTTCAGTCCTGATTATTTGAAATGATAAAAGACTTATAGCAAGGGTGGAATTTGATTCATATGCCATAATAAAATTTCAACGTAAAGCGACAATAAAGACTGGACCAGAATAAGCAATAACATATACAGAGTTCTTTGACTCTGTTTCAACAACTGCAGAGTTATTTTACTTCCTGCATGTATTCTAAGTGGACTCCTTGTACACAGGGATGCAATTATTGTCAGTATTAATAAAATTTTGTTCCTTCTCAGAAAAGAAAAAAAGTAGAGTTCTTTTGGCATAAAATATAAAAATGAAAATTTACAGAGTTGCACCCATTTGAACAGATAACATCAATAATCCACACAGAATACACTAGCCACTAGCTTTACCCATTCCTTAGAACATGAAATAACTCATCTGGAACATATTATATGATTTCAACTCAAAATAAGCTTCACAATCGTAAACGAATCAGTTCACTATAAAATACTAAGCTTAGTGGGACCAAATAACTTACGTTCACTTTTCTGCTGCATACTAGCTCTAGCACTAAATGCAGACAAGAAGGCCACAAAGTCCTTAAAATTCAAACCATCCACCATCTTAAGCAACCTCTGAGGAGAACATAGCAGAGCCATAAGTCAGAAACTCACACCATGCATTACCAATGATACAGAGAGCGTGGATTGAACAACTAAATATAAGCTCATCCTAGCAGTGGACTACCTGAGAGAGTGGATTCATTGCAAACTCGGGGACCGACAAGAATTCATCAGCTGAGATAAAACCCTTTGCATTCCGATCAAGTTGACAAAATCTTTGATATAAGGATACAATTTCTTGCTGAGAAACTGATTTTCAAAACAAAACCAGATCAACTAAGTATTAGCATTGATAACAACAAAAGCAAATTGCAACGCGTGAAAGAGAGACAAAGAAAAAATAACAAAAAGAAATACCCACATAAATCATTGCAGTGTTCCTGTACTTCTTCAATGTCATACTGAGTTAGCATGGATGAAGCACTCCCCATTGGTTCTCACTTCAAAGCTACAAAATTTGAACAAAGAACAAGAACCCATTCATCACTTACCCCTGCAAGTCAAATGCCAGAAACCAATAAACAAATAAACACTAATTTTACACTTCAGAAGGTTTGGGTGCTGTGTTAGATTGCTTAGAAACGGTGGCAGGCAAAAGCAGGAAAAATTAAAACTTTACAAAATCTGAACTTCTCCTGTCGCTTACATAGTTAGTTTTATTCATTTCTTGGGAAGCAGTTCAATAGCGAAAACTTAAAAATCAAAATGGTCATTACCAGAATTCCTTCAATTCTTTTTCTCGGCAACCAACAGAAAATGAGAATAAATAGGAAAATGAAAGAAAAGGCACCTGGAATTCTGAGCCAAAAATATGGCTGGAGGCTCAGATAAGATGATACGATTTGTTGGGAAAAATACAAGAGATGAGCTTTACTTTGTCAGCAACGATAACACTTGAAAATCAGACATTGTTTTTGTCTAAGGAAGTGACTCGGCGAGGAGGTTATTTTGCTGGCAAATTCCCGAAAGAGTTCGTGATCGAATGCTTGCCTATTGTATTAAATAATTTTTTAAAGGGTGATTTTATTGGCACCCTATTATTTGCTCTTTCCACTCTATGTTAATTTTAAACATAAATAACTTATTTTATCATTATACATAAATACCGTTAAGGACAAAAAAAAAATTAAAATAAAAATTAAATTTGCTTGCTACACCACACATATGTTCATGCAACCCTAGTTAGAATTTTTTTTCTCAAACCATCATGTTCCTATAACCCTAATGAGGTTTATACATTTATATTGGTGAAAAAATATCTTGTATTTATTCATGAAGGGTGAGACTAAAGTTAGAGAGGCTTCAAATGAGGTATGAGTTTATTTTTTAACGTTTCTCAAGTTTAGAATTTCATGATGGTCATTAGTTGCGTTCAGCATACCAGTACCAAACGCGATAAGTATATTCAATGGGATGCCACTAAAACATTGTACATATTTCGGTTGTGTTTGACCGGCCGTTAACTTAAGATGTGGTGGATATCCACCATAACATGGACAGTGTTCGGTGGTGTATTACCGAATTTTTACCTACAATTCAGTGGCAACGAACCGAAATATTTATTTTTTCAATAACTTATTGTCGACCACAAATTTAATGCAAACTATTTTGACCTTACTACCATTGAAGGAACAAAAACAAGAAGACGCCCCCAAAATAAATGACACATCATCCAATGTAATGGTCATCTCACCAAAAGGCATGTGAAAGGTGTTCGTTTCGGGATGCCACCTCCTCGTTGATGTTGTGGGACGTTGTTTATCAAGTTGAGATGATGAAGCCTCAGTAGTACATCTGCAAGTCCTCTTCATATTTAAAAAACAATATTAAGTACAAACTCAATAACGAATTTGATAGATGATCACTTAAACAAGAAATGAATTCAATAGACTACCACTGAAAAATGGAAACAAATTTGGTGGACTACCACTGAAAAACTAAAACAGATTCGGTACTGAAAAACTAAAACAGATTCGGTGGACTACTACTGAAAAACGGAAACACATTCGGTGGTCAGCCACTAAAAAATGGAAACAAATTCGGTGGACTACCACTGAAACAAGATAACGATTTCGGTAGGATTTACATAGGTAAGTTAAGGAATGGAGTTCATGAGGACAATTTAGGAAGAAAAATGGGGTGCAGTGAGTAACTTTAAATTTTACTAAAATTTAGTGGGGTGCAAAGAACAAATATTAGAGTGCCAATAAAATCATCCCTTTTTAAAATGTCATTTTTGAAAGTTATGAGCTCATCATTTCATTGATTTTTATAACATTTAGCGAAACTTTTTTTTTTTTTTTTTTTTTGGGGATAAAGCACAACCATTTCTAAACAATCTTAAAATTGCTAAAAATATGACGATGGGTAAATTTCTAAACAATCTACATGTGTGTAAATTTCTAAACAATCTACATGTGTGTGTGAATTTTTCCCCTTCCTCACCTTAACTTTGGCCCCAAAAAAAAGAGTGGTATCGCTCACCTGCTCCATAGGGAATGAGGAATTCCACGATTAACCAACTTTTTGGACCTACTTCATATTGTAATTCAATAATCTAAATGAATCAAAAAACGAGTATGTTTTTAGACATACGTTGTTGAGCATGTGTGTTGAATCAAAAAACTAGTAGCTCAAGTAGTTAAGAGCATTTACTCATGCACTCAAGATGCTTTCTTTGATTCTACCACCCTCAATATCACTTGTATATCAAAACTAGAGAGCGAAGGCAAAAGCGTGCAGGCATAGAGTATGCGCATGACAGTGACACAGTACAGGCTCTCCTTCTTGTAAATCTCAAAGTCGTTTTCATGTATGACGATTTATCAAGGCCTCAAAGTTGTCTTCATGTATTAAGAGTTATCAAGGCCCCATATCTTTCCAATGTACAACAACTAAAGCTTTGGCAATTCAGTGATTATAAATGAAAGCAAAGATTCAAGTGGTTTGAGTTTTGGATATCATATAAAGTTGTGAAGCATAGCAGTCTGGAGAACAAATGGGAGCAGAACAAATGCTTCAGTGCTCACAGTACTAAGGCAAGCATTCGGCCATAAGAAAGATCTTCCGGGCAAGCCCATGAAAACACTTGAAAAACTGTATAGCTTAAACCATAGCATATTGAAAGATCAAAACATACAGAACTACATCACTGGCAGAAGTTAGACTGCCACCTCAATACAAAAAATGGTTGAGTATGTAACAACAATTCCAACGAGTCCCAAAGCAATGGGAAGCCTGACAGCATTCGAGCTTTGCATTATTAGAGACAACATTTACCATAATATTAGCATGCATCAAGATCCCGGCACGGAGGAGGTTTGGGCTCACCGAGCAACGTAGTATTTCCTCCTTCTGGTCCACACTTAATGCGTTTAGGGTTTTGAGTGCCATGCTGTAAATTTGGAAATTATATTACACTATGTTGCAACAATATAGAATCATAGATAATCTAAACAAGAGACCTCAATTAGGATGAGGGATTAAAAAAGTTCTAGAATATAACAAAACCTGGGAAGAAAACCTAATAAGTATCTACACCTAGTTTCCTTACCGGTGGCTTCTCGCCCTTTCTTAACTTCTCAACTATTTCCACAACTAGCTCTGGAGTAACATCTTCCTGAAATTGACATAGAATATAAATATAAATTCCAAAAAAATTCAATCAGTATAGCATCCACGTAATAATGAACAGAAAAAGTCTTGACCCACGTAGTAATTGTATGTATATCCCTCCGATCCATTGGAGTAATCAGCGACCGTAATCATGGGAGCATTCACACAGCTTCCCTGTAGACAACCAATGACTTAAATCAGAACATGCATCACTCCTTCAAAATGAACAGCAAAAAAATTGAAGAAGAAGAGTATGGAAAACAAAAATCAGTAAAAAGAGGGTCTCATAAAAATTAATTTATCCCTATTTAGGATCACAGGTGGTCAACCAAGGAATTATGTGAATGGCATGATAGTGAGGGAAACTAGTGAAATGCCACACCAACATTAACTCATAATTTCTCTTGGTATGAGCCTTTTGTCTGTCAGAAACTGTAACTTAAGTTTTCAGGCACCTTACAAACTTTATCACCTGACGCTATATTAAAGTTTCATGGACCACCAGTAACCAACATATTAATTCTTTTTCTTACTGTTATTCTCATCTTCATTCCAGCATGAATCAAGCAAAATCAGTGCTAAAGACTAGTCAGAAGCTGAAGGTTTGGATCGCTAAACCGTTGAAGAAAAGACTCACCATGCATTCCATTTCTCCAACTGAGAATAATCCATCCTTGGTTACTTCTGCACATGACCAATTCAAAGTTTATTTTCACATGCTCTTTTATCTACTAATACCTTAGAATGGTGTGCATTGAAAATTAGAAGAATTTTAAAACCATTTATAAGACTCACCATTGCGCTTCACTCCTAAGTGATTCAGTAAAGCCGCTTCAATGTCTCGTGAACCACGAATCATACATGGTGTTGTGCCACAAACCAAAAGGTGGTACTTGCCCACCTAAAACCAATCAGAGAAAAACACTTGGGTACTGGAATTTGCAAAATGACAAAATGATACAACAATATTAAAATGTAAAATTTCTTACCTTCGTCCGATTGAACATTGAATAAAATGTTGCAACTTCATATACACGTATAGGTGCAACTTCGATAACCTTTGCTACCTGGAACATCCATGAAACAATAAAATAACTAAAACTGTTCATGTAGCCTCTTTCATTCTCAATAACTGGAACTTCAACTCAGCACAACAATGAGCTTTTAACATGCTATGCTGTGGAAAAATATTATACTCAATGATCAAATTTCATTTCAAGTACAAAGTTTGGATATCACATATCTGTGATGCAAAATTGGGGTAGAACTTTGGTTAGACCAATCTGACCAATCTGAATTTCAGCAAATCAAGTGAAGGATATTTTATAAATAGACCAAATACAAGATAGACACTAACCCCCCCCTAAACTTCTCATGTCCACCCTTAATGCAGAAAGAGTGACACAGCATAAAATGACGCTCACCATTGAGTCAACAAATCCCCACAATAGATTTAAAAATTGAACAAACACATAACAAAGCTTATGCAATAACAATAGATAAAGAGCCTGGCAATTATAGACTAAAGGTAATACAGCAAACACAAAATCTAAATATCAGTGTCTAAACGCATGCAACATGTTAAACAAACCAAAAGCAGGAAAGCTCATATGCTGGCTCTGCATCATATTCAGAGATATTCTAAATTAAAAAAAAATTATGTCTAGAATTATCCAATGGGTACAGAAATCATGTCCTAGCAGAGAACAAAGATTGCTCAAGGAACAAGAACTTCAAATCTTTAACTCTTGCTGATTACTTCAGTACTGATTGCAACATTACTATTGTGCTGTTAAATTCTACAATTAACTATTTGAACCAGTGTGCGAATTCAGTCTTAGCACAATCACTCTGATCTCTACTCCTTTTGAACAGAACACACTTGAATCTTTGTTTGATCTAACTATAATCCATATGATCCAAACTGGTTTTACAAATATTATATATACTTCTAAGCTAGATGAGATACGAGACCAACATATGATATTATCTCAAGCTGGGAGTAAAAACATATTATCCAAACTGGGTTTACAAATATTATTATCTGACAATAATTATATTATCTCAAACCAACATATGATATAATATTTATCATGTTTCTCTCACACACAGAAACCAGAATTGTATAGATGTGTTATAGAGATATGTGCAAAAATAAGTACAAGATATACGTAATTTTAAACAACCGCTCATGCCAACATACTGCATTCATTGCTGAAACAGGGAGCCATCCTCCATGCTGCTGCTGTGCAAGATCCAACAGAGGAATCACTGCAGATTGCTTGTAGTTGGATGGATAATGAGACAGTATCTCTTTCGCCTACAAGTAAAAGGATGACACTTTTTAGAACTTCATTAATATGAA